CATGACCGAACAAGTGCGAAGCAGCTCAGAGTGCAGCAGTGTTGATTCCTTTCTGGAGCAAAGTTTTTGTTGGGCTCCTGGGTGGAGGTTCCTGTGGGCTCAGGCAAGCTCCTTTCATGAATGATTCGGCTTGACAAGCAGGACATCCCATGATTGCCGTAGGTTTATTTTTGGTAGAGGGTAGGCTGTGCCGTGTTTCACGAAAGCCTGTGTGGTGCAATGGTGCACTCATGACACGGGATAGCTCTGACACGGCAGTCTGCCCTAGTGGGCATTTTGTCAGGGATGTGACAAACAATGAGGGGGCAACTTGGAAAACAGCGTTTGCAGTTTGCACGTGTTTGCATTGCCGTCCACATGCTCACAGCGCCGCAGCCGCTGTATGTGGCTGACCCCATGTGTTTGCAAAGACGTCAACCCTTTTGTGGTGCAGGTCATGCCGCGTACCTGTTCAGCCTATGCCAAATGGGGAGATGATGTGGATCCAGTGCAACAAAGTCAATCTGGCCTGCTTAGCTGCCAGACTTTCTGCTAGGTTTGTTGCGCCAAGTCTGGCTTCACACTCATGTCGTTGAAGCCTTTTGGGGTCCAATAAAGGCGGTTGGTCTCACCAAAGCCATGTCCCCGAGTGAGATTGAGATGACTATCCGGAGGCTGATAGCCATAGGTGCTCCTAAGGTTCCCTGGCGGTTTCAGTTCTCCTTCCTTTCGTTGCTTAGAGTCTTGAGGTTCTAGATGGCAAGCTCAGTTTCCATCCAAGGCATTCGTGGCGGTGGTGGTCCTGGCTTCATTTTTGTCTATGCATGAGGACAAAGGGACTTTGTACCTAGAACTGTTTGCTGGGAAGCGACGGCTGTGTCGGTTAGCTCACTCCTTGGGCTACCCGTGTGCTGCGCACGATATACTGTATGATGATCATACCAATGGCAGTTCTATGGATGTGAACTCCAATGTAGGTTTCCTGCTACTTTGCTGAAGTGATGTTGGGTGTTTCAAGTCATGGTTCGTGTTAGGAACAGCCGTACGCTGCAGGCTTGTCATCCTCAGCATACTCGAGTCTCGTTTCGACCGGTTCTTGGCTTTGATTGGAGTCAAGTGCTCCAGCTGGGTCGTGATAAATGCTGGAACATCACAACGAGATTCTCTTACACCTATGGGTGATCCTGGCCAGCCAACAGTGCGGTGTGCCAACATGATGTCTGCAAGGACTGGATTTGCTTTGTTTCTGCGTTAACTTCAACCGAAGCCAGCCATTTGCTTTAGCTGAGCGGGACAGCCTTGTTGTTGCTGCTAATTTCTGCAGCCGGTGGAGTGTGGCTCTTGGAGCAACCGACCAGCAGCGTCTTCTTTCAGAGTGATCGCATGCAATGGCTCATACGGCTCTTTAGGAGGATTCGGGTCAAAGTATACAGACAATCTTTCTGGATGGCCCACTACCTCCACAAGAACTACAAGCTAACCAGAGTTTGGTCCTTGTCACAGGGGATTTGGAGACTTGACTTCGGGGCCCTCAACCGAAAAAAGGTGAAGCGGTCATCGAAGACTACAATCCGATATCAGAACAAGAAAGGTGAGAACAAATTCTGTGGCGGTGATGAACTTTCAACAAGCCAGCAGTCTGTTGGCATTGGCACTTTTCCGATCTCCTTATCTCCCCCAAGGCTTTAGGCAAGTTGATCGCCCTTCCAAGAAAGGCCAATAGACCCTATGAAAGGCATTCTTTGGTGGGGTAATTTGTCCTAGCAAAAGCCCTCAACATTACCACAAAAAATGTCTCTTAGCGTCTCTTGGCCCGTGTTGATTTTGGATCCGTGGAGTGTTCTCGAACTAAGGGAATACCCTCCTGCATTCTGTGCAAGGGTGCTGAAGTTGAGGAAGAAGTTGCTGGGAGATTTGCCTAAGATGTGGAACCGAGCTTCTCACCAGCATTGGGAGAGGGACCATGCTTGCACATCTGTTCTGTTCTGACAACGGCTTACGCCCCATACTGCTTCTGAGGTATCCCTCAACTTGGACCTTCCTTTGCCAGAACTTCTCGCCCGCATGCCTGTAGAATGGGTCGATGATGCTGACCTGCGCAGCGTGTTTGAGTATTGCCGATACTCAAAGCACATCCAGATTCCACCCGAATACCGCGAGGCATTAGGACTCTGAGGAAAATATATATCTTCAGAGCTGGCTAGATCTAATTAGATCTAATTAGTATGTCCATTGAACATATCTTTTGATGGCAAATTCGATCAGAGTGAGAAAAGCGTGCCAACCGCTGCCAGGTTTGTATGGCACTATGCACTTCTTTGTCACAAATTGCCAAATTGCTGTTGAACCAGCTTGTGTTTGGGAATGTCCTGAGTTTTCCCGGGAATCCTAATTTTTTCCTTGCAAACTTAAAAGAAACTGCCGCGGAAATACCCGGGAAAGAGGCGGAAATACCCGGGAAAGAGGCGGAAATTCCCGGGAAAACGGCGGAAATTCCCGAGTGTGTTTTTTTGATGTTTGTGGGAAGGATTCTGAGATTCGCTTTCGCAGCCATCATGAGCAGATCACTCTCCAACGAGACACTTTTGAGGGGTTGCGGGATTCTTCGATACCAAACCATGAGCTTGGAAAACGACACACAGTATGCGGAGATGCTTGCAGAGAAGAAACAGTTGCTGGCTTCTAGGCACACCAACAGGAGCCAACAAACCCGAAAGGGCAATTTTTGGAGGTGGCCTTTTGAAGCGTTTTGGAAAGCTTTTGGGGTACAAAAAGGCCACCACCCAAAAATTGCATTTTAGGATCGGTTGGCGTTTCTTAGAGGGTGATGGAACGCGTGTTCTCTGGTTCTTGCCGGGTGGCTGCTGCCTTTCAACTCCCCGATTCAATCCAAGGCTTTGAGGGAGAAGATGCTTGCGAAGCAATCTTGCCCCATCCCCGAGGCGCATCCTGTGGCTGAGGCTCCCGCTGTTTCTGACGGGGAGGACGCAGGTCGCAGCACTCCAGTGGAGCGCGAGGTCCCTGACACGAGGGTGGACACCCCACCGGAGGGACCGAAGGCGCCTGTAGAACTTGTGAGGAAACCACCCATCGACTTGGACACACCCAGCGTGCCACCAGCGCAGCCAACACAGTCCATAGTCGATCTTGAAACACCTGTGGAGCCCCAAGAACCTGAGCCTGTGGACGCCCGACTTGGTAACCGCTATAAATCCTTTTTGTCCTTTAGTCTTTTGTACTGTCGTGGGATACAGCCGTGAGGGAGTTGCCACCACTTAATACCAACATTTACAGGAATACTTATCGGTTCTTTCAACTTCTGATGCAGAGGTGTTTTACTTTCCCGTTTTGTTCGGGGCCCTGCTTTTGGTTGCTATTTAGGCGAGGGATTTGGCATTCGCCCTTTCGCAAAAAGAGAAGACTTTGGCTATCTAACTCTTGGAGGGATATTTCCTTTCAAGTGAGGGGCATAGTGAAATGTACGATCCCCGAAAGAAAACACATCGGCTTTTACATCGCACAGGCCCCCTATGAACCGCAATCCAGGAACCCAAGAACCTGGCACCCATCTTTGATACAACTGCACATGCTGAAGCTGGGTCGGATGGCCAAAGCGTGCCTTGTCAAACCAACCTTGGGACTGCGGCGGAAGATGGGTCCAAAGGTGAAACCCCACCGTGTCAGCAGGTTGTACAAAGGTTTACCGTAACTTTAATTTTACTGGAGACACCTTTGGGGTCAAACCCCCGTAGCCCAACCAACCTGGATCACCGTCGCATCCAAAACTAATACGAGACACACAAAAGGGATCACACCGAAGGCTGGTGTGATCCCTTTTGTCCTCCTAAACTGTGTTGGATTGACACCGCCCGCGGCTGAGGTGAAGCCTCGTTCTCCATCATCTGTGGAGGGACCAGCGGGGCCTGAGGGAGCAGGGGGACATCAAAAGGCGATTGACGATGATGGTGATCAGGTGGATTTGCCCCCTACACCTCCTCCCAAACAATTATCCGCTTCCGCCATTGACAAGAGGTTGCGGAGGGTGCTTACTCCAAGGGCCAATGGAACTTACTTGGTGCCACAAGAGGTCATCGATGCATGGAATGACAAGTATGACCGAGACAGTGTGAAAAGCATGTTTGAAAAGTCTGGGTATTGCCCGGTGCGGGGTGCCAAAATGTGTTGAAACTTGTTTTGAATTGTTTTGTTGGACAAGCGTTGCCCCAGATTTGGGCTTTGTGGTATACACCCTGGACAACAGTCAGTTAAGTTAACTGACCACACGAAAAAAATCCCTGCCAGGAGGCCTTCGTCAGGCGTGTCCGCCGCATCTATCAGGAAATTGATGAGCAAAACCTCGAAACAGAATTCGAGTTCATGACGGAACAGGACATGGTTGATGCGGGATTTCCACCGATGCTCTACTTGTTTGGTTGTATGCCGGGGTAAACCTTGGTCGGACTGTTGAGGGTTAGGCTTCCTCCATTATCTCTACTCTACTATCCCTGTTGCTGTGCAACGCCAAGGAAGAAGCGGGCCAACATCAAGAAGCATTGTGAAGACCATCCATCTTACATCAGGACTGTGACTGTGGTGGGCTTCAGGGAATGAGAACAATCGAGCTCCATGTTGGACACATTTCTTTTGACAGAGGTGTAAGAACTGAACACTTCCCTTCTGCCAACCGTTCAAAAAATCTTGGCATACCTCTCCCCTACTTGTACTCCTCCATCCCACTTGCCCACACAGACTCGCTCAGATTTATATTATAGACTAAGGGAGGTCCCCTTCTGACATCTCGAGACCAGGAAGTCCACGTATGGTGAGGGCTTGATGTACTGGGTGGAGCGAAAGACGAAAGGCAGCACAAAGCGCCATAGCTGCATCACACTGCGACCTTCAACTTTGTTTTCCTGGAATGCTGAATACTGCTTTACAAAGAGGTTTGCTTCGCACTCACAAGTACACCATCCGATTGCTCAACACAAGCCGTGCCCAGCAACAGTATCGCTTGTGGCCCCATGCCGTGCGCTTGGCTGAGGCGCACCCGTCGCAGCATCCTGGAGCAGTGTGCGGATGAGGAGCTTGAGGAGGAACCGAAACAGCTCTCGATGGACCAGCCGTTCCCATTTGACTCTATGGGCCCGGGTGGACCCTCTGGATAGAAAGAAAAACATTTTGGGGTTGTGGCCCCATTCCTTTCTGGAAACAGTAAGCTTTTAGGCAGTTGGACTGCTTGTTAAAAACTCTCTACTCACTAGGCGATCGGAAAGACCTTTCTTCCGATGATGAGTTTGGCGAAGATGCAGGGGACGATGAGCAGGGGAATGTTATCAAGGCGATCAAATTTCCAGAGATCGAGGGCCCGACCAAGTACCCGTCAGCAGCTCCCAAGGTTTCCAAGTGTCTCCAGAAGCGAGTGAGACACTTGCAAGATATTGTTGCTAAATTTGATGCAGCTCCTAAACTTGATGCTGCACAAACTTCGCTTCTTACACAAACATTATGAACGTTTTTGCTGCTAGGTCTGTAACTAGTGTTAGCCCTTCTGGGTACTGGCAAAACCTTTCTGGTACTAGGGCCGCTTCTGGAAACCTTAGGCTGAGGGGCAAAATCGTTGAGCTTGCGACCAAACTCACGCAGCAAGATGACTCGATCATGCAAACCTACCAGCTTGGGATAGCTGACGGCTTTGGGAAGGAGCCGCCCGTCCACTACTCTTCATGTGGTTGTGGGGATGTTATGGCAGCTTGAGATATAATACCAATAAGTTTTTGTAATGCTTTGCGTGGGTCTTTGGGGCCTCCGAGGAAAATGAAGTCGTTCAAGCAGGCTTTTGAGAGTGCCAAGAAATTGTCAAAGCCTGAGAATTTTAAAAAGCGTCCATCATCACTTGTCTATCTGTTCGTTAGCCCAGGGCAGTGGAAGCGATCTGCATGGAGAAAAGGGCCCGGTGGGGGACCCAACCACATGTACAAGTAACTTCTTTGAGGATGAATTTGTCTAACTACAGAAAGCTAATCAGTAAGCAGAAAATCAGAACACACTATTTACCCCGCTGAGGCAATGCACCCCTACTTCAAGGACTAGTGAACAGAAGGCGAAGGGTAGTGCTAAGCGCCGAGCTGTCCCTAAACGGACCGCTGAGAACCCCACAACGCCGGCGGCCAAGAAGAAGGCCAAACGCTAGATCGCGCTTCGCCTTAGGTGGTTTGCTTGTTTTGGGCACTCTGTGTGTGGCAGAGCGTTGGGGCTCTGTGTCCACACGGGGTGCAAAGCTTTGAGTTAGAGATTTGGGCCAGCGGCCTTGAGTGGACACGAGCCTACTTCGGATCCTCGGATCAACAAAAAAGAGCTGGACCCCAGTGAGCCATACACATGTCGACAAGCCGTTTCCCACAGTTTGTGAAGTTGAAGTGTTTTCTATCAACGTTCTTTGCCCCAGCCAGGTCACAAGCTTGGTGGCAAGCTTGAGGAGCACATGGCGGAGTGTTTAGGCGAGGGCGCTGGAAGCTCAGCCACCACACCTTGGCCTATTGGATATTGGATGGCAAGATATCGTAAGACTGGAATGTCTTTTTCATTCATAAGAACAGCAAACCTTAGATTTAAGTTACTTGCCTTTCACTCATAGGAAATCCTGATTTTTTGTCGGGTTTGAACATTGAATGCTGCAACTGTGCGGTTGGCGACTGCTCAATTGAACACCCACATCTATCCAAACTTTCAGCTTTCCTCTTCACAACTTGCTAGCCATGCCCGCGTGGTGAGGCAACAGCCACCAATGTGAAGCGCACGCTACACTTGGGTGAGAGGGAAGCACCCAATGCTGAGCGGGATTGTCATCGGAAGTTTGCCCGACTAGGATTTTCTTTACCGATTGCAATTCAATCAGTTACCCACCAATGTGGAAAAGATGTCTTGACTACAAACTGGGTGAAGGTATCCGATTGGTTGAAATATCTTCTTCGCAAGGCTCCATCTGTGCTAGCTGGGTCCCACTTTAGCGTCCGACAGCAGTGCGTCTCGTTCTGGCAATTGTACAGGCAAGTGCACGCAGGGCATGTAGTGTTTGAGAGCGGAAAGGATCTCATTTTCTGCCTGCCTCTCATTTTGTACGGAGATGAGGGAAGGGGACCAAAGAGAGCAAACTTTATGGACTTCACTTTTGAGACGCCGTTTGGTCTTTTTCGACATCAAGATCCGCACTGCGTTTGCCGTGAGGATGTATCCTGTTGGCCTGCAGAGTTTGTTTGTTGTAGCAGTGGTCCTGTTCGTGATTCTGTCGGTGTGGCTGAGCAATGTGCTACCAACCAGAAAGGGCACAGTTACCTTACCAAGCATTTGGTGTTTGGGTTGCCGAGTTTCCTTTACAAAGCTCACCCTCAGATTCTGCAAGAACATCTTCGCTTGGTCTCTGCAGACATGCGCGCGCTGTACGAGCATGGGATTGAAATCGGGGACTCCAAAGAGAAATGGTGGGGTATCTTGATTAGAGTTAAAGGTGATATGAAGTTTCATGCCGAAGTGGCCGGTGGCTTCAATCGGAGCTACGCAACTCTGTCCCAAAAGGGCGATGGTAAGATGTGCAGCCTGTGCTTGGCAGGGGACCCCCGCTATGAATTTGAAGAAGTGGACCATGTGCCTTCTTGGGCACCTAGCATGTTTGAGGCCAGGCCATGGCCAGAGAATGATGGGCCAGCACTATCTATGATCAACTATGACCCAGAACGTCCAGAATGGGCTTTCAAACTGGATGCCTTTCATGTGTTTAAAGTTGGTTTGACAAGGCACATCGTTGGCAGTTTGGTGATGATTTTGTGCCGCTTGGGCTTCTTTGACAGTGCAGACCCTGCAGAATCCCGAGACATCAATGAGCGCTTGAACCGTGCGCACGGTGGGTTCAAGCTTTGGTGTGCGGGGGCTCGAAAGAGCCCAGGGCTCAGATCGTTCACACGATCTTTTTTCAATTGTAAGACCTTCAGGAGTTCAGCATGGGCAAATTCCAAGGGAAGTGACAGTACTTTGCTAGTCTCATGGTTGTTGTTCTACATCCCTTTGATTGCGGCTACGCACGAGAAAGCTTGTAACCACCTCCGGTTTTTCAACGTTGCCAAAACTGTTTTGGAGAACCTCCAGGCCATGCACAAGATTTGTGATTCGCATGGTTTGTGGATGCCACGAGTTTGCGGACAAAATCTGTATGCACGCTTGATGCTGGTGTGCAAGGGGTACAACCTCCTTGCAAAGCACGGGATTTTGCTGGGCATGGTTGCTTACCTTTGCCTTAATAACTTTTGGTTATTTGTTCGGCTGTTTGTTTGGGGTTTCCACGGTTGGGTGTTCATTATCTTGTGGCTCCACGCAAAAACTCAAAAAAGGTATCGTTCTCAATGATCCCAAAGTACCATGCAGCTAAGCATTTGGCCTTTGAGCTGCGGACGCAGTTGCTGAGTGGGGCGGCCAGGGTTATGAATCCAGGTGTGTACAACACAGAAAGCAATGAGGACCACGTTGGTAAAGTAAGTTCCCTGGGCCGTCGTGTGTCCACGCGAACTATTTCAAAAAGAGTTATCCAGCGCTACTATCTCAAAACCAGAGCCCTCATTTCAAGGCACGTGAAAACCCATGGTGCCGGCTCCAGATAGATCAAGGCACACTGTGACTGTTGCAACTTGGAAGGAAAACGATTGGTGACAGGTGCGGAGGAGTGCGCTTGGGGTTGTTGTGATATGTTGTGATCACATTCCGAACCTTTTGATTATGGGTGCAGTTTATTGACACTAAGAGGTTTTTATTTGGCGCGGAAATTCCTCTGTGGCCGCGGATTTTTCTTCTTGGCCGCGGATATTTTTTCTTGGCGCGAATATTCTCTAGTGGCGCGGAAATACCCGGGCAAATGAGGATGCGACAGAAATTTCTGCCCCAGGAGCTTATAGGTATGCACATATATCAAAATTATATACTATAAGACCAATTGCTGAACCTGAAGAAGTTGTTCGATTCAGTAGTATATGTGTTTCCTCTGGGGCAAGAACACCAACCACCAGTTCCAAAGGAGTATTATTGTTTATAGTCCGAAGTGAGTTGATATAACTTGATGTTCTGGGCACCCATATCCTCCAATTGGCACCCCTTCCTCCAATTGGCACCCCTTTGGACCTGCTGGAAGTATTTTGGTGTTTTTTTCTCCTGGAAAGGCGTTGCTCTGGATTTGGCCTCACGTTGGATGTGTCCCATGCCCCCCTCGATTCCCAGCCTCTTTTTCTTTATAGCAGGCGCGAGTCTTTGACTGAAAGCATTCAAAAAACCCCAGACAGTCCATGGGAATGTACTACCAATGAAACCACCCCCTTGAAGCCTTGCAGCATCGGTTAAAAGTACGTCTTGGAGTATCGGGTCGTCCCATGGAACTACGGTGCTTGAAGTCGGGCCCCATCTCCAGAAGTGGACAGTGCTTCAGGAGGCCCAGGGGGCGAAGCCCTGAGATTCCATCGATATTTGTTGGGAGTGCAACATGTGCTTTGTAACTTAGAGAAAGGGCAACAATGGAAACCCTTGGAGGTGAAAAACCTCACACCTGTGACTGTAGACATACATGTTTTTGTTGAGGGCCGTGTCCCATGCACTTTGGTCACATTGGAGACTAAAAATAATAGTATTAAAATCTAATGGCATCCTCTTGAATACCACTCTTCTTGTCGAAGCCTCACCTTCCTATCCACATACAGTATCCAACAGTAGCACCGCCCCCACCTGCGACAGCTCCACGGGAGGGCAACTGCTGTTCCGCCGCAACCAGCCACGCAACTTCTCGAGGTTGGCGGGGTCTTGAGCTATGTCCTCGTAGAAGATGTGCAGCACTGGAATGCCCACCTCCTAGCAAGAAAAGCCAGCTCTGTCTTGGATGTTGCTGTCCAGGAAGCGGGATAACATCCTGATTCCACAGAAAGTGGGTTTACCCAATATATAAGGAAGATATGGGAAGATCAAACAACACATAAAAAGCGACCCCCCCCAAAACGACGTCCAAACTCCGGCCTGGTGTCCGGAAAACGAGACGGCCGTTGGTCCCCTGCTACTCAGCCAGGGTGGGAATTGACATGAGCAGGGAAGAGATGGAAAAGTGCACTTGCATGACACTCCGAGAACACAACTGGTACTTGGAGAGCAGAGTTAGTTTTCTAGAAAGGGGTGATTGTCTAGTTTCATCTGGTAGCGATTTCAAACAATCAATACATGGTAGTGGAGCTCCAAACCTGGAGCTCCAAACCCCGGTCGGTTGACCTCCTATTCTCTGGACTGGTGGTCAACCTGGTAAGTCGATGATCCCAATTAGGTGCTTGATTCTCATATGTAACCCCTGATTTGGTGTCAACCGTGCGTCCCGAGTGGTCTGTCTTTTTCGGTGCTTTTTTGGTTGGGGCCGCGTGAAAGGTGGTATTTTGTGGTGGTGTCTTTGGTCGTGGTGCTTGTATTTCAGCGATCCTTGTGAATGGGTGAGTAGTTCGATGCTGATCCTACACACCAAAGAGCCGAAGAGGGTGGCAGAACCTCCCCCCCCCTGGGCTCTGGTCCAGTTGTGAGGCCCCAAACCAGCTGAATGCCCACTCCAAAAACATATAAATCAACATATTACATACATGTAGCTATAGGCATTAATAAAAGCACGTCTCATAGTAATGGAATTCTTTGGGTGGTCAATGTTCACGACATGAAGCATACATTTTGATGATCATTTGCTGTTGCGTTCGCTGGACCCAGGCGAAACACCAAGAGAATCAACACATGGTAAAGCAAATCCAAAAAGCAAATGAAACAGCAAAAGCACAAAATAGAACAATGAACAAGCGAATGGCGTCCTATTTTTTTCCACATGTTGTCGCTTTTGTTTGGGGTGTCCTTTTTTCACGCGTTTTCGCTTTATTCGCATGTGTGTTCTTTTATTTTGTGCCGTTTGTTGTTGTGTTTTTTTGTTTCACGTTTTCTTTTGGTTGTCGCTTTTTCGTTTTGGTGCCTTTCGGGGACGCTCTCTTTTTCCGCTGTTTTTGCTTTTTCATTTGCTTTTGTTTTGCTTTTTGGATTTGTGTTGTTTTGCTTTCGCTGTTTTATTTGCTGTTTGTATTAGATGTGTTTGCTTTTGATTTTTGTTTATTTTATTTTGTTCTTTTTGCAATGTTTGTTTCCTTCACTTTTTTTGCTTTTTGGATTTGCTGTGTGTTGTGTTTGTTTTTTTTTGCTTTTTGGATTTGCTCTTTTTTACTTTTGCATTTTGTAGTTGCGTTATTTTTTTATTGAATTATTATGTTGCAAAACCATCAGAGATATGCAACGTGGTTAACACAAATTTGGTGGTAACCAAAGGTTCCAAGTGGTTCGAAGGCTGCAACCAATCAGGATGCCATTGTCACTAGGATGTATAAATCATATCCAGGATGTCTGCTAGGTTGGAACATTTGGAACATTTGTTGGTTTGCTGCTACACAGGCAGTTTCTCTGTTTCATGTCTAAATGTCCTTAACCTTAGAAACAAAGTGACAAATACAATCAGTGGTGAATGTGCTTTTGTGCTTGTATGCAGAAGTGGTTGGAAGGCCTGTAGTGAGTAGTTCATTCTGAAGATTTCTGAACATGTGTAGGACTTGGCAGCCCTTCTAAAATAAACACAAAACTTTCCACCCAAGCATCAGCCTTGCTCCATTATATACCAGGATCAAAGATTTGCATGATCTGCCTTCCAGGGTGCCGACCCCTTTTCTTTGAAATAAGCCAACATGGAAAACACCAATTGTCCCCAAACTCTATCCCACCAAAACCCTAAACAAAAGACTGTCCTATAAAGTTACCTCAAATTTCAGTGCTCAAGACCACATCTTCTGTGCCAAAAGAACTCTCTCCACATGCCTTGAACTCTGCAGTCGTTGCATTCAAATCTTGGAATCGCGTCAAAAAGCGCTTTTGATCCCTTGAAGACTGGCAACTTTATTTCATTATATAATACAGTATATTGTTTTGCGGCGATTGGGGACGTAGTTGTCAACAAAAAAAGTCTTCCCAAAGCAGGAACCTCTTGACACCAAGCTATACGTGCAACCAATCCACAGGGGATCCACGTATTAGGATCCTGCAGTTTGCGGTCTGCAGTCGGCCCATCCGTGGCCGTTTCGTCTCAAGTCCACAGAACCTTCCAACTGGTGGTTTTGGGACACCCCAAATCACCTCTATAGAGGCTTTTTGTAGACTCACCTCTTGGAAGGTCCTGGTGTAAAAGCATCTTAAAAATTGAACACCTTCAGTTCGTAGCCTAGAAAATAGATGAACATAGGAGACTCTTTCGACACATGCCACCCATTTTGGAGACTCTTTCGCCACCGAATCTTACGGAATGCCTTCGCCTGCGCCAAGATGTGCCGCACTTGTTGGATCTTTTGTTTATCACCTCATGGAGGGCCAGCAGTGCCATCCAAAAACCATCTTACAAAAATACATTTACACTGCCTGGGATCATCACGAAAGGAGAAAACAGCGAACACTTAACCTATTTGTACAGGAAAAGTTGTCATATGTTGTCATTCAAGGGTCCATGTTCGACTTCCATGCTGATTCCAGCGAGTGTAAGTCAATCTTACACACAAGACGTGTGGACAGTTCTTGATTGATCATGCAGGAGAATTGGACCTCAACTGTCTTGAAAACCTTGGCCTCACCACACCCACCACCCCTCCAGACCGCCACCGCGAACAAGGGGCGCAACAAGTCGTGGGTGAGGTTCTTGATGTCCAAGTTGATTTTCTCATGCCTCACCTTTGACACCACAGCCCACCACAGCATGCGACCGTCTGACATATCCAAGAAACTTGCAACGCTTGTGCCACAAGTGTGAGGGATCCCCAAACACAATGGTCTTGGAGGAATGAGAAGTATAGTTATGCACACCCTGGTTCCGAGACCAACATGGATCCTGAAGACCACGTCGGTTGGTAGAGGGAAACCATCTTCCAGGGGGCCAGCCAGTCAGGGTCCAAGTTAAGCGATGGCCTCCACACGGGTCCCTTCCAACATCTTTCAAGCCGAATCCATCCACTTCGTCCTACTTCGTCCCTTCACTCCAATGAATACATGCATACTTCACTTCCGCACAGGACCAGGTCTTCACAGGGTCTCCACCTGAGTTGACCCGTTCTTTCCTCCATGTCGGCTTGCCTGAGATCATTTACAAGTGGCTGAGACGATGCAAACGTACGAAAACAAAACATCCAAACGTCTGGTCTGGGACCAAAAAGGGAGTTGACCCGGACCCCATCTTGGCTGCCCCCCGTCCTTGGTGGCTTCCTTCGCGTCCTTCGTGGCGTAGACCGGAATCCGCCGATTGGCTTCGACGCTGAAGATGCGCCGCAGGTCGTTCCGCCGCTGCAGGAAGACAATGCCTGGAACGGAGGAACGGCACTCACGTAGACCGGAGGGGCGTTCCGCGTGTTTCAGGCGGCCGAAGAAGCAGGTTGGTCACCGGTTGGACGAAAACAAGGTTTAAACGCGAGGAGAGCCGAAGAAAAGTCCTGTACCGAAATAGTCGTGACTTCTCTTGACTCATGGACCCAGTTTTTAGATGTTTTTAGGTTACTCAGAGGCATCCTCGCTTCTGAACTTCTGATTTGATCACGAAGGAGCATCGCCTAAAGAAGACGGTCAAGGATGGCTTCGCCGTTCGTGGCCAGTTTCGTCAAGTTGCGTACTTTATGGCGCATGGAGTACTTCTTGAACCAGTTGGCCCAATCTTCAGGAAAGGCCTGGTTCACCTTCCTGAGCGCGAAACACGAAGCTGGGACGAAGCTGGGCTCGGTTCGAAGCTGGCGGTGAAGCGCATGGAGCATACTGCTCCAAATCATTCGAAGCTGAAGGCTGACCAGGTGGCTTGAATGGAACTGTGTTCACAGAACCCTGTGAGGATAGTCTTTGAAGATCTTTGAAGTTAATTTTACTTCCGGAAGAATAAACCTTGGATCAAACGTCTGTACATACTCAGAGGTCCGAAGCACCCTCTGAGGAAGTGAATCTCATGAAGCTTCTTCCTGGGGGTGCAGACTTTCTGTGCGAAGGTGGATTCAATTCCTCCCTAAAAACCACGGATGTGTTGCATGACTGGTGAAAGAAATGCGGGAAACCACCTGAGAGTGGGAAAGCACTGGACCCAAAAATGACCTCCCAAACCAGGTGCTCCAACTCACCCGGACGAGAACCCAAACCAGGAAAGGACAGGCATGTTTGGTGCCAGTTCAACTTTCCACTCCAAATGCCTCTGTCTTGGAGGTGTTTGGGATGGTGGAGGGTCTAAGTATATTCTGAGAAGGTTCTGAGAAGGTATTTAGAGCTAGGGTTTGGAGGGAGTTTGTCCAACAATAGCACTTTCAAGGATCCAGTTGAAGCCACGCACCAAGCGCCCGTTTTGCAGGTCCTTGCGACGGTTGAAAGCAATGTAGAATCTTGATTAAAACCCTCCCACCATCTGGATTGTAAAACCAAAACCTCTTAATATGGATATATATATATGGAGGTTTTATTAATCAAGGGTCTGCTTTAGTTGAGAACAACCAACCAACCCGTTGTTGCAAGGCGACCAAGAAGAACATTACGAGATCAGGTGCTTCCTGCTACTTATGCTTTGTTGATAAGTGTTATATGCATGCAATGCAGGTCTGGTCAGGATACCATACATAATATCCATTACATCCCGTTTAAGTGCAGGCTCCGTTTGGATGAAAGATCCTATATAGTATTCTGATTCCAAACAGCTGGTTGGCCCAGCCTCCTTGTAAAAAAACAACTATGTTTGGACCCTCCAAGCATATAGTATTACATGATCTGATCGTAAGCAAGAACAGACTTGCCAAACACTTGCCCTATCTTGCTTGTGCCAAACATGCCAGTGGCCTTCAGCAGGTGTTTAAAACATTTCAGATCCTAGACATCCGGCACTTGTCAGGCTCACCAACCACGCTGCATAGCGAAAGTGCCCTTCGCCATGACCTTCCCCACACGGGTTTAGTCAATGGCCTATCCAAGAAAACCACCCCCCCTAATCCCTACCGATCCTAAACAGTCCTCCATGTCAGCAAGGAGTATTGAGGGACAAGTTCATGGAACATCTCAACAAATAGTGACAACTTGTTCCAGGATCAGGATGGTGAGTGCATATAGTATGACATGTGACCTGATCGAATTCAACACAAAGGACCCAGCCATCGTGGTGAAGTGCAGCTTCCTACTACCTTGAAACCTCACCTCCAAGGACTGAAAGAAGGTCTTCAGACCGACCGCGCGACCGACCGCGCGACCAAGGGACCACTGGACCCATCCTGAAGGCCATGGACATCGTCCCTTGAATCTGTACATCTTGGCTAGGTCATCTTCCCCTGAAAATGGTAGACAGTATAGCTGCTAGCTTTTAGATGTTCCATCTTGGAAGTGCTTCCAGTGCACGTCTCACCACACCTCTTGGCCATTCCAAGTTTCAAGCGACTCTGTTTTTTTTTCACGGACACCTCGACAGACCGTATACTCCCGTGGCAGGTCCGAGTCTGCCTGTCGAGCGTTTTGAGCGTCCTGTGCTGTTTGCTTCACATAGTCCACCAGAGTCCATGGCAGAAGCTTTCCATCAATCTCCTTTTCACCGTCCACGGAGCACTTGAAGAATCCTTCAATGGAAACACCTGGCAGGTCGGACATCGAGGAAAACCGCGAGTGAACTCGGTGGTTGGCATGTGAGGAAAACAGCGAGGAGTCAACCACCGGTCCCCCCCCACGGTGGTATGTGTTTCTTTTTCGAGAGGTGGATTGGGGGGGCAGGTGTTCTGCAGTTGATCCCTGAACTCGATTCTCGCAAGGTAGGACCCTTGACAACCTGACGCCTCCGACGAAGAAACACCCAAGATCGAGGGATGTGGCTCCACTTGATTGACGTTTGATATCAGTCGCAGATCACAAGCTTCCAAGTCCAAGCATTCGAGTGGTCCCCACTTTTGCACCAGTGTTGTTTGCCTTGTTAAATAAACTTGCAATGTCTTTTTATTTGCTGTATATACATGTATGTACTATATTGTACTATTATGTACTCTTTTTGGACAGTACCCCAGCTACACCGAGGCAAAGTAAACAAATTGATATGGAAGCAGGCTCTGACTTGGTGCTCCAAACTAGTGGAACCTGAACACTGACTAGTGGAAGACTGCCCCGTCATTCCCAACGTAATCCCTTTTTGTAGAGGCCACTGGAAACAACCAGAAACAGCTCCAGGCTGCATGTCGGTTCTTGCCAACAGCTCTCGTGTGTATGACTCAATATCTCAACCTCCATAGAGCATGGATGAGCATGGCATGTTCTTCACCAGGAGTTAAAAACGTCGTTCTTGGAGGAAGGACGAAGAAGAAGGGCGGGTCCTTCTTCTTCATCTACGTTCTCTGAAAGTTCCGGTAGTTCGTGTGATGGTTTTATTCAACCCTATAGGGTTTCCACCCACTTGTAGGGTAGGTAGGGAAGAAGAATCCCCCCTTTGTTGAAACCCGACTCTCAGCACCAAACGTCACCAGGTTTGGATCAGCGAGCTTAGGAGCCACGGCTCCGTGGAGCCACATGGGGAAGAGAAACAAAAACCGAAAGCAAAACCAGCTGCCCGTAGAAGAGAGTTGTCCAGGTATGTGCAAGTCCATGCCCATTCATAATCTGCATGACTCAGTGATACTCAGTGCCTCTTCCCAAACAACCAACCATGTCAGAACTATGCCATAGACTTCTGAAGGCTCTACGATCTATCTGTACATGCATTCCAAACACCACACATCGGAGGTTGAGCTGTGCAAACCAGGCATAGGCGACGTCTCATGGTAGGAGTCCACCATGTGAACTTCTCAGTCTGGTGGTACAAGATCCTTTGCCGGGCATCCCAATGGTTGACGGACACGGAAACGGACACGTTTGCGTACGAGAATCACATCCTTCTCCGTGGTACTAGTGACTCTGGGGGTGATCAATTGGCGGCCCATTTTTAGTGAAAAACATCGTTTGCGTCAAACGCCAAGCAAACAAGCTCCGCTTTCCTTGTCAAGTCCTCACCTTTCCCAAGGCACACTGGTGCTTTATAGCTGGGAAGCGAAATCAATCCCAAAATCTCCATGTATGGTTTATATTTATGTTTATCTCATATGTATGTGCCATGCCTACTCCCAAATGTAGGTGAATCTTCCCTGCCTGCGTCTGGGAATCAGATCTTCTCTATCAAAGCAGGCCACAGTGTACTCTCATGCATGCCCCTATATGCCCCAGCCTGGACTAGCATAGCTTTAGATGAAGGAAAAACACGATCTACAGTATTAAGGCTGGACGTTCAAGCGTGCATCTGGACCCTAGTGGCAAACATACCGATTGCCAAACTCTTAATATCACAATCTTCCAATTGCTTGAGGAACTGCGGAAAATAATCTTTCCCAGAAAGGATTTTACCCATAGGGAAAACAATGAACCTATTAGGTAAAACCAGGCAATGTGACCTCCTTACAAACAGGAACGCCCTTGAAACGAGTCGTTTTCCCACCACGGTCGAAGAGAGCGGAGCGTCTCAGGGAGTACTGAGATGCATGGATCGCGGTTCAGCTCGTGTGAGAGCCTCACAACGGACGAAGACAGCACTGCTTTCGCTTGAGAGTGGTTTGTCAAAAAGAACACCACTCACACCCAGAGATGTGGGCGAAGAAATGGTGCAAAGATGATCAAGGAATGCTCTGCCTGGCGTTATATAATTGCCCCCCTACATCTCCCTACATAAGCAACCCAGGCTCAATTCCACTAATGAACAAGCACCATGTTTTTGTATTGAAATTATGGAAGCACGTCGAATCTACCTCAGTGCGTGCGCAATTCAGAATAGATCAGAATAATCTCTTCGACAATCCGTCAAGGTGCCTTGGAGTTGGCTCATGCAGGATGAGTTCTGCTACTTCTTCCCTCCAGGAAGTCCCCCGAAACCTTTTTGCCGACCTTGAAACCACCCACTGTGGTAATAGTCTTCCAAACTCCTGAGGCGATATGGTGTGTCGAGGGTACATGGCACAATCCCCAAAGGTGATTCATATGGACCTCATGGGGGTGCCAGTGCCATGCTAATTACTCTGAAACTAATTCCTAGCGATCCAAGTACCTTCTCAGAAGGTGTTTGGAGACACTCTTTTGTAGGTTTGGAGGCTCCAAGTGCCTTCTGAGAAGGTACTTGGATCCCTAGGGAATGTATTTCTTTGGGGAAGTGTTTGGTACTCGTCAACTGCTTTGGCCTGCTGCACCCTCGTTCCACTTGCGCGAACGCCGGGAGGCCAATGGGTGCCAGAGCGCTGGAGAGAGAGAAGAACCACCCAGGATTCTCCTCAAGATGCTCGACAGAATCCCACGACCTTAAGCTACTATATGGATGGGTCATAAATAGAGTTGATGTATGATATTCCATACATGGATCATGGACGGTTTGGGTGTAGTAAATATCTTTTCCATCGTGTTCTCCCCATGGTTGGCAACTGGGATCTTAAGATTCCAGGTGGCCAACAAAAAGAATCGGAGTCCTTCTCCCACACTTCTGGGCCGCGGTCGGGACGTCTCTTCCGTTGGAACCGCAAGCTCCACGCGTCTTGACGTTGGAGAGACCGTGGATGAGCTGCGGAATGCAGGCGTCGCGGACGGCTGCAGCAGCAGTGGCAGGAGCGCCAGCAGGGCAAGGGCAATGAAGAAACATACCTGGTGCCAAGAAAGAAGAGTAGCGGGCAACTGGACGACAAGTATACTTCTGGTTCTGTTCTTGTCATGACAAAAACATTGGTCACTCCCACAATTTCACCCTGGTTCTGTCAACAAGCCAGCTGGTGAAGTTGTGACTGTCTTCTCAGAACCTACGACTCGTGTGCCAAAAATCACATGATATATATATATATATACATACATAACATATATATATGCCATATACCCTAGGGATCCCACATACTGTACCTTCTCAGGTACCCTCACTTCGCCTACAGTCTGTCCCCAAACAACACGAGGGTCGACCTGATCCAGTGGGAGTCCAGACCTCTCAGACTTCCAGACCTCTAGAGGCCTCCAACATCTGGAGTCCCCGACTTCAAGTCCCGACTCGTTTTTGGGAGTGGTGTCTTTTAGACATTCCAAGTGGAACGTGGCCCCTTGGATGACCAGTTTCCTCTACAAGCCGGTGGTTTTCCACGTCCATGAGGAGTGCAGGGAGCTTAAGCATCCTCTTAACTTTGACATCGAACCCGAAAGCAGCTGAAATCCCCATTGAATGAGAACATCGTCTTGGGCTGCCTAGTTGAAAATGTCTGACAAGAGGGGTATCGTTCCATCTCCAGGATTATCGTTCCATCTCCAGGATTGGCCCCTCTCCTAAGGTTCTGAGTCCTGCAAGATAAGCACTATACAAACTAGAGGATTCAGGATGGATTTTTTTTCGTGCGTGGCCGCGGCCGGCTGGCCGTGGCCGTGGCCGGATGGCCGTGGCGTCGTGACCTACTGGCACGGGCCGTATGGCCGGAAGGCCGTGGCCAGAACCTACCAATCGCATCCGGCCATAGAAATGACCAGCAGGGGCAGCAGCGTAGCGAGCTTTCGAGCAGTAGCAGCGATGATCATGATGTACCCCTCGCACGCATAGTGCGCGAACTGAGCGGAGAAAAAAGCGCGAGTTCCTCTGATTCTGCGCAATGTTTTCACGCCCCTCCTGATGACATTCATCCTCCTTGTCGTGGCTGAACGGTCGTGACCTACTGGCTACATGGCCGGGTGGCCATGGCCGGAACCCCACAAACCGCATCCGGCCATAGCTTCTATGGCGGCTGCTGCAAAAGGGGAAAGGAAGAGCTAAGACGAGTTTGCATACACGTGGGCGCAATGTAATCGCTCAAACAGGATGACGGGGATGATGTTCTTTTTCAAAAGTTTGCAGTCTGCGCCAGAAGCGACAGCTGCGAGTGTAGAGAAGCAGAATAGGCTTGCGTTTGCTACTCGGTAGCTAGAATTAGAAGTCAGGCTGACCTATGTCTTTGCAAGCGTTGAATCCTCCACAGAGACACGCTCTATGGTGAGTGGTTGCTTCCTGGCGGGTCTTTGCGTGACTTTGCGGTGCAGGTTTAGTAAAGATGTGGGACATTTCGCGTGAATCCAGAAGCTGCATAAACCTACTCTTATATCCTTTCAAAAGGCCAAAAGGCGTAGTGTGTCTATATTGCGGAGGTCTCTAGGCTGGCAGAGAGCTATCGCTGCGGGGGGGCGGTAAGTCACAGTGTGCTGACACATGATCCAGCTTGAGTGAGGTGGAAAATGCATTATTGAGAAGAGGCTTTCCACGTTGGGGGTAGCTGGCTGATGTCAGCTACAATCCTGCTATATTGATTTTGTAAGCTACACCCCTCCACAAAGTGTCTGCGCTGGCAATGGTTGTCGCATATCTGAAGGTAGTTGAACGTCGCTCTGCTGCATGAACACAGCAGGGTCGTCGTTTGCGGCTGCACCCCACACGAACAGGAAATGTTTCCAGCGTCTAGGCTTGGAATCTTTGACGCTTGCCTGCGGGAAAGGATGCTTGTGATTTACTCAACCGTGGCTAGCGACAAGGTTGGCCCCCAGCCACCTTCCGCGTATACCCATTTTGCCCGTCGCTTTAACACAAGTACAAGCGC